TGTTTGGTGATTTTTGAATTGTTCGGAGGTCCGCGTGATGCTGTTACACCCAATGTCTCATGAGTACATCTTTAGGAATGTATGCAAGCACGGGTCAGCTGAAATAAAAATATTTTTTAGGCCTCGTTGATACATTTTCGGTATTTTGCCCAAACATACTACGCTGATAGCACATTCAGGAATAATCACACCTGCTGATAATAATAGTTTGATCACTAGCATTCTTGTGAAAATGTTACTCTATTGCACAAATTCAAGCCGCAAACATAGGTGCGCAGTAAGAACTCTGAGAAGTTCGAAAACAAGAGACATTGCTCGTGAATGTCATTCAATTTCGTTGAGTTGATTATACAAGTGCATTCGAATCAAGTGCCACCTTCGTCTTTCTCCAGAATGTCATATCAACTACAAAACATGATCGTGATAGCATCTGTCAGTGTAACGTACAGTCATAAGTGAAGGGCAAATACTTCATTTGAAGTCGATACTTGCAATAGAATATTCATAGTTTATCACTATTGTGATTTTATTACGCTGAGAAGCCAATTGCATGGTGTTTTCAGAAAAGAATTAAATCTATTTTGAAATAATTGGATTTCTTGATCGGAAAATATTTCGTTACTGAATTGCGATAGTTTAGGTACGGGTATCCAAGAAGCGACTAAACAAATCCACGAACGCGAAGGAGCAAGACCGGGAATAGCGACTAAAGTAGTTTTCCTCAACCTTTTTCTTGTACCCAGTTTTCAAGCAGCGCTTTAAGGTAATGATTGTATTCACCGATGGTTGGAGCAATAAAGGTCCGGATCCTGACCAGATGTCTAAGTTGGCGATTGCTGAAGGATTTGAAGTGTACTCGGTATCATATACGGTACGTTCAGTTATTCTCTCCTAAATCATCAGCATAACCTTCCTTTTCTTTGGGAGGGATTACATTTATTAGGAAAATCTTGTTTTGAAACATTCAAGAGCATCACGCGAGAAACGAGGAGATCGAGTGGCTCAGGCGAGATCTCAGTGGGTTATTGCTGCTGTTTGGCAAAACGGTTTCTTCACAGGACCGAGTGTCCCTTTTTAGAAAACTAATTTGAATGAGTGGATTTGCTTTGCAGAGTGGCTAAAACGGTGTGCTCGCTTAAGTATTTTGAAAAATACCAAAAAAAGAATTAGGCTACACGTTATAGCAATGGCTCATAGTTCCAATTTCAAAATCTTTTCCCACTTGTGCATCATTATTATGAAGTTTGAAGATGCATCAGGATTATAATCTCCATTAGATGCAGGTGTAAAATGACTTTTAAATTGTGACAATAACAGAACTCTATTAATCATCGATTGATACAATCCCTCTGACACTCATATTCCCCCACGCTTCGAGTGATTGCTGCAGTCCTACTGTCATGCATATTCTTCTCTAACTGTCGATATTTTAGGGCAAAGTTGAAAAGGCTGTCACCATCAACGACTATACGCTTGAGACTATAGCGCAGGATTCCAAACACATGTTCACAGACAAGACTTTCGATCAACTCATTCATAAAGTTCAACAACGAAATATGAAGTGCATGTGAACACCTCAGGAGTAATTCGTTGTGACTGTGTATGGATCATTATGTACAGAACTGGACCAACTTGCTCTGAACTACGTTGATACTCATAGAGAGTCTTTTGATGATTGTTGTGCTGTTTTATGCAGCGAAATTTGTAGATATCAGGATTGTATAGTGACTTGTGTTGTACAGGAACAATTTCATCTTGAGAAAAACTCAATAATAAATTCAATTCACATTAGCAGCGATCTGATCACAATGTCACTTTATGAAGGTACAGATGCAAACATTGGAAACTGCTAAGGAAAAATACCTAAAAGTGGAGAATCAAAGCAAATTTTTTGAGATTTTTATTTATCATTTGTAATAACTTATCAAAGTAAGGCCAGCAAATGAAAGAGGACTAAATATGCTTTCTCACCATAAATTTTCTAAGCATTATAAAAGATGGATACGGTTTCATATGAATTTGAAATTCAGATATGTGGAGGTCAAAACGTTTTTCTCCTCCAAGAGTTTAAAGCGTTATTGTGTAAGGTAAAGAAGACCTTACCAAGTAAATATGAAAATAATCCTCTTTAGGTGAGCTTGGATATGAAAAAAGAATATCTGAGAGTGTTAGTTTTGCCCTAATTAAAGCAATGCTAAAGGTGGAAAGAATCAAGGTACAAGGAAATCAGCGAGCGTTACAGTCAGATTTTCTGGTGCACGAGTGTTTTCGAGCTTACAAGCCGTTACAAACTTACTGATTTTCAACCACTCTTGTAAAAACTGATCAATAAGAGTCTCGATTCTTTGTAATGAACAAGAGCTCGCAATTCCATAGACGTTCCTCCTCATAAAGTTA